GCAATAAAACACATTCTAGGTCATAAGACAAACCGTAACAAAGGTAAAGAATTAAAATCAAATAAAGTATGTTCTCTGAAAGCAGAATTAAACTAGGAATCAATAGAAACATTTCTGGAATATGGCCAAATATGTGAAAATTAAACAATATACTTCTAAATGATCCATGGGTCACAGAGAAGGTCTCAAGGAAAACTAGAAAATACTTTTAACTGAATGAACATAATATCAACTTATCAAAATTTGAGCTTAGAGGGAAATATATAGCACTAAATCATTACATCAGAAAAGAAGAAAAGTATCGAGTCAATCATCTAAGCCTCTACTTTAAGAAAGTAGAAAAAGAAGTGCAGAAGAAACCCAAATCAAGCAGAAGGAAGACTAAATATAAGAGATGAAATCAATAAAATTTAAAACAGAAAAACAATAGAGAAAAAAAATCAGTGAAACCAAAAGCTGTTTCTTTGGGGAAAAAAATCAAAATTGGTAAACCTCTAGTCAGACTGACCAAGAAAAAAGGGAGAAACACAGATTACCAATACCAGGAATGAAAGAGGGAGCAGCATTACAGACCCTACAGACACTAGAAGGCTAATCAGGGATCCTATAAAAAAACCTTTATGCTTATATAATTTTATTTATTTATTTATTTTTCCCCCCAAAGCCCCAGTAGATAGTTGTATGTCATAGCTGCACATCCTCCTAGTTGCTATATGTGGGACGCGGCCTCAGCATGGCCGGAAAAGCAGTGCGTCGGTGTGCGCCCGGGATCCAAATCCGGGCCGCCAGCAGCGGAACACACGCACTTAACTGCTAAGCCACGGGGCCGGTCCCCTTTATGCTTATAAATTCTACAAATTAAATAGATTAACTCCTTGAAAGACAAATTACTAAAGGAAACCAGAATATGTCACCCCAAAATATGCCTCTTTGACATAAAAATTATTTTGAGCTGAAGGCAATTAAGCAGCAGCAAACATGGAAAAAGGTCTCTCTACCCTCCCCCTTTTCTGCCTAAAGGCAGGATACAAATTCTTCTTTTACTGGAAACAGACTTTCATCAGCCCAGGGTCAGAACCAGTGGAATCTGCAGACAAACATTACTCCATTCGTTTCCTCCCATATATTTACCTTCCTACAGTTTGCTGCCCTTAGCAGCCTAAAACTGCTTTCCTTTCTCCTGTCATTTCTCTACCAACATATTGCCTTTTGCTGAAGATGCTACATAAGCAGGCTATTCTAAGCCACCACTTTGAGTTACTTTTCATTAAGGTTTCTCCTGCGTGATGTACACTGCACAGGTTAATAGTCTGTTTTTCTGTTAATCTGACATTTTGTTAAAAAGCTCCAGCTGAAAACCTAAGACGGGTCAGGTAAAGTTTTGGCTCCCCTACACTACCAAACTCAAGAAGAAATAGAGAGCTTGAATACTCTTGTATCATTAAAGAAACTGAAATGGTATAGGCACTTTGAAAAACAATTTGGCAATTTCTTATAAAGTCAAATATTTACTAACAACATGATCCAGCTATCCTACTCCTCAGTATTTACCCAAGTGAAATGAAAACCTATGCTCAAAAATCAGTTAAGGAATGTATATAGCAAATTCATTCATAATGCATCAAAAAGTGAAAATATTCCATCTTCCCCCCGGTGGTGAACAGATAAACCATGCCATATCCATACAATGAAATACTACTTGGCAATAAAAAAGAATGAATGTTTAATACACAACAACAATATGGATAATCTCAAACACATCATGCTAAGGAAAGTAGCGTTCAAAAGGCTATATGTTGAACAATTCCGTTTATATGACATTCTGAAAAAGACAACACAAGAGGGACACAGATGAGTGGTTGCCAAGAGTTAAAGGTGGAGGGTTTTACTACAGTAGCACAAAGCAATTTTTGGAGTGATGGAACTGTTCTGTTTCTTCATTGTGGTAGTGGCTACCTGACTCTGCATTTGTCAACATCATAGAGCTGTACACTAAAAGAGTAAAGTGTACTGTATGTAAATTTAAAAACAAAGGTTAAGATGTATCTGCAAACTAAAGCCAGCAATATATAAAAAGGATAATGTAAGTTTGTTTATTCCAGGAATGTTTAATTTTAACATGAAAAAACAATTAAGATAAGCAGATTAAAGGAGAAAAAAACAAATGATCATCTCAGATGCATAAAAAGTATTTGATAAAATTCAAAACCCATTCCATGATTTAAAAAAAAAACTAAACAAATTAGGAATAGAAGGGAACTTCCTTATTCTGATAAAGGAGATCTATCACAAATAAAATATATCATTATCAATATGAAATACTGAAAATATCCTCTGAAACTGGAAAGAAGACAAAGATGACCACTGTCAGCACTTCTGGTCAACATTTTACTATAGGTCCTAGTCAGTGCAATAAGGAAAATAAATAAAAAGCAAAAGAATTGGCAATGAAGAAAAAAATCCTATTTACAGATGATAATGTACACTAAGAATCCAAAAAAAGAATCCTTGGATAAATACAGCAAGTTAGCTAGTCATACACACAATTCAAAATTAAATCTTAACACATTATATAATCTGTAATAGTACTGAAACTGCAATGAACCTAGTAATAAGTCTACAAAATGTGTAAAACCTCGTAGAGAAAAATCATATAATTTTAGAATGCACCAAAGACATAATAAATGGGGAGATAAGTGAGGTTCATGGATTGGAAGATTCGATACTGTCAAGTTCTCCCCAGAATGACCTATCGATTTAATTCCAGTGGAAATCCCAACAAGTTTTGTGAAAGCTGATAAGTCAATTCTAAAATTTGCAAGAGGCGAAGATTAAGGGAGAGGATGCAGAAAGGCTGACACAAATGTTTTCTGATTAATGGATGAAATAATTACATGGCCAACAAAAATAGTACATAGCAGTACAAAAGAACAATAGAAGGTTTATATAAGTATTCCCCAAATTTGTTTAAAAATAAACACAAGCTTTTTTTTTAATACATTGGAAACTGATTTTTAAATGGATATAAACTCATATTAAGCCTCTTTTTAAAAAAAGAAACCCTAAGCAAAAGCCTCACCTAATTTCATAAAGCATTGTAAAGCATTGGTCTACTGATAGATTTGAGTTCTGGCAAGCAATTTGCAAAACCATTGCAGTCAATTTTGTGCCACGGTGGCATATCCGTTTCCCAGTGCTTGCTCTAGGTCAACAGCAACCACAGTGGCTGAGCCCAAACTCGGACACATTCTCTATTGATGATCGTTTTAACAACGTTTCTCAACCCTACTCACAAATCACATAGAGAAACAGAAATGTTTATGTGGCCTTTTGCCAAAACCAATCATTCCAGAGCGTTGTTTGCACTAATACTAGGACTACTCCAGGAGACAGAAAAATTTTTTATTAGAAAAAGTTTACCAAGAAAAACATTTTTAGGAATAAAGAAAAAAACTTTCCTAAATGTCCTATTTCATAAACCCAGTGAATTGTGATGAGCAGTATAAATTCATTTGGACACCTTATGAAAACAGCTGTAAGCATACATTTGGTCCAAAGTCACATCCAACTTCTAAAACTGAGCTAATGCACCATCACTGTCCTGAGAGACTCAAAGACCAGAAATTTCAAGTTTGGTCTATATCTTAAATCCAGAAAAATAAAAAGCAAAATGTACAAGCCAAATAATTGTTGATTTCTTCTTCTGCATTCTATATCATGTTTCCTTACTATAGTCTGAAGTTACATTTTATCTTTGACAATGCCCCTCAGCAAGGGGACAAAACAAACATAGTGAGTTAAAAACAACAAAATTTTTTGAAAGCAGTCACAGAGAGTGCAAGAGGCAGTAGTTGTCTCCTAGGTCTTCATTATTCCCCTGTATTATTAGACATGGTCTCAGTGTCATTTGAACTGAAAGGAACTACTATTGATTGTAGCATTAGTGAAATCTATACTCTACTCATTGTGAAAAGTCACAGTAATTAAAAAAAAAAGACTCCAGTAGCAACATAGGCAGAAACAAATAAAAAGGTCATACACTTACTGTGTAGTGAAGCAAGGAATCAGGAATGAGCACCCCCAAGGGAATTCACACAATTACAAAAGTAAAATCAACTAGCTTTTGGGTTGGTTCAGAAGTCAGGTCAGAAAGAAGAAACCAGAAGATAATCAAATTCGATGGGTTTATGGCCCATCTCAGAGCACTTTCATCACACACACAGGGTAAGGATTCTACAGCGACTGTGGGCAGGTGTACCCAGGGTCACAAAAGAAGGAGGGAAATGCACTTAAAGGGCCCTAGCAGAATCTCAGCCAGAAAAATGCAACCTCCACCAGCTAAGGTCAGCTAAGGTCAGCTGGGTTTACACACCTTTGACCCACTTCAAATCCTTTGCATCCCACAAAGAATTGCTCCTTTCTAAATGTTCTGGTGCCGACCCAATAATGGAACAGCTGCAACCACCATCAGCTTGAGGGGCTGACTAGTCTTGAATGTTCCATGTGACTAAAAAAATAAGAGATGACTCCTTCCCTCATTCCTGAAGGTCTCCCATGTCCGTCACAAGAGATTCAAAGGAGCACTCTTACCTCCAGTGTCTTCTAGTGTTTGTTAATATTTGACTTTAAACAACTCCCTAGGCTAATAACATGAGAAGTTAGCTCCTCACTGAATATTCTCTATAGCAAAGAGTAGCTGACTCCTAGTTCTCTTCAATGAACTAGAATTTAAATCTATGTAATTCTTGTGACTTCTATTTCATCTTGAAACCTAGAAAGTCCTTCTCTTTTCAATTATATGTAAACTTCACCAGTCTCAGCCATCTTTAGCTGGCCTCTATTCAACGAGACCTGGTGGTCTGGTGGTTAAGATCAGGAGCTCTCACCGCAGCAGCCCGAGGGTTTCCTTTCCTGGTCAGGGAACCACACTCCCCATCTGTTGGTTGTCATACTGTGGTGGCTGCATGTTGGCCAAGAAAACCCTATGAGTAGCAAGGGAGAATTGTCTGATACAGCGTCAGAAGGTGAGACGATGGCGCAAAAAGACCGGGCAGGGTTCCACTCTGCCGTACACAGGGTTGCTAGGTCGAGGGCACTGACAACAAAGTCACACTTACCAGCTGTAAGACCCAACTGTGAGACCTTGGATGTATAACTAGCCTCTCTGAGGCTCAGTTTCTTCATCTGGGATAATGTTTACTGGGCAAGGTCGTTTCAAGGATTAGTAGAAATGTACGTAAAGCACTTCGTATTTAGTAGGTGCTCAAATGGCAGGTGTTTGAGAAATATATATATAACATATATAACATAAAATTTATATATAAAATATATATATAAAATATATAACATAAAATTTACCATTTTAACCATCTTTACGTGTACAATTTAGTTGCACTAAGGACATTCATGTTGTTGTACAACCATCAGCACTGTCCATCTCCAGAACATTTTTTTTCATCTTAAACTAAAACCCTGTACCCATTCATTAAACAACTCCCCATTTCCCCCTGCCCTTAGCTGCTGGCAATCACTCTTCTACTTTCCGTCTCTATGAATTTGACCACTCTAGGTAAGTGACATTGAAATACATTTCTAGGCCCAAGATAGAGTCGCTCCTGCCCGGGGTGCCATGTCAGCAAACTGAAATTGCACGTTCCTGTAAATGCTCCACCTGACCAGAAATGTAGTACATCCAGTCAGCTAATCCCCAGACGCCAAGCCAACTCTGGGCTCTTTACTTAATTCCTTGTTCCTTGATCTTTCTGAATAAGGCGCGCTATGCACCCCCAGCCAGTCACACCCTCTCTCCGCACTGCTGCTTCTAACGGTCCATAAAACTCGCTCCTGCCCAAAATCCCTCAGGAAGAGGGCTCCACTGCTTGTGAGGCGCTGCACTTTGCCAGGCATGGATTGTTTTCTCTTGAATAAAGGACGAACTTGTTACTAAACTGTTTTATTTTTGTCATTTGACAGTGGGGTCACACAGTATTTGTCCTTTTGGGTCTGGCTTATTTCACTTGGCATAAAGTCTTCAAGTTTCATCCATGTTGTAGCCTGTGTCAGAATTCCTTGCCTTTTTAAGGCTGAATAGTATTCCATTGTTTTTGTTTTATCTGTGTTTTGAAACACATTTTGTTCTATCTGTTCATCTGTTGATGGACACCTGGGTTGCTTCCATCTTTTGGCTATTGTGATTAATGCACATGACAGATGTTTTAACTACAGATTTTTTATACCAAATATACACATTAAGCAATCAAAATAGTTTGTCCCAGGCCCACAGCAAAGGGTCTCTTTTTAGAACATCTTCATCAACCTATGTGAGGGGAATACTGATAGCTCCTACTTTCTATTGATGGAAATCCTATTTAAGAGCTTCATTACTTTTTCATACCCAGAAAAGCAAAATAATTCAATTAAACTATAAGGAAAGAAACAAACTGCTAATCACAAGCAGTTATTACAAACTGTGAAGTTAATACACAGAGTGATCTAAAATTTGAAAATGCCAATCAATTACAACTTATAGGGGGAAATCTGTGCTTCAGTGGGAAAACTGCATTGTTCACATCACACCCATGCCCTGTCAGGTCTTCATGTCTAGGCTGCATTGCCTTTCACCTATTTTACAGCATGTTAAGTTGAAAAGAACTGATGGCAGTGCAAATGATTCTGGTCTATGGATATGCTAACAGATCTGTCCCATGGAGGGGCAATTCTGCCGCTACGTGGCACAGCACTTTTACATCCTTTTCAAGTTTAGCATTCCTGGATCTATTCCCGGTAGAACTGGATCTACCAGCCTCTCCCAACCTTTCCCAGGGTTTTGCCAACTGCTTCCTGCCTTCCTGGCTCCCTCTCACAGCTTAGATCAGAGTTCATCGCCAGAAGTTCTATCTCATTTCACCTCCACGCCTAATCCCACCCAGGAGCTCACAGATCACACTTCTGATCACCACCACCCATCTCCCACCCCCTTCTACAGTAAATCAAACCTTCAGGAAGTGAAAGTAAGCCCACAAAGAAATAGGAGACCCAGGCCTCATATCACGTACTTTCCACTGGGGCAATATCCTCCCAAATTAGTTCTTAGAAGTAGAAGAAAGGATTTTAGATATTACAATGGCCCTTTGTGGTCTTTCAAAGCTCAGCCATACCTGAGCACTTAATTTTTCTTCTTAGTATTTAATTTCTCTTGTTAGGGAGAATTTTTCTCCTTGGGGGAAAATAATGAAAATGTGGTTAAGAAACACTGCCTTGAATCAACCTTTTATCTGTATCACTATAGGGTTCCTCTATCTTCAAGTTTTCAATCCTGCCTACACATTCAGGTCCTCCATTTACTTATTTAACCAATACTTGAGTGCCTACTAGGTGTCTGCACTGCAAAAATGCTGGTAACACAATGTGAATAGGCAGCTCAGGTTCCTGTCCTCATGGGGCTTACAGTCTAGCTGAGGTGGAGGTGGGATATGGAAATTGTCAAATCAAAAGAGATTACTGAGATTAAAAAAAAAAAACATAAAAGGAGATGCACAATGGATCTTTGGAAAATGAAGAAAAAGTAATACAAATTTGGAATGTGACATCTCAAAGAATGGAGACTGTTACATAGTCTATGGTGGGAAAAAACACTACTGTCCATAGGAAGTTGTTTTCTTGAGGGAAAAAGAGCAGTGTCTCATACTGTAATAGGTATTTAGGGAGTTTAGACATAATAGTTCTAATGGTAATTTAAGCGTGCTGTTGGCATTATCACAACTTTGTAGAGAATTTGTTTTTATTTAAAATTAACTCAAAGGAAACAGATGCCATTTGGAAGTAGTGGTGGCAATGACTATAATCAGAGGAGAAAGCTTTAGTAGAAACAGCTGTGGCAAACCAGCCTGACTCATGCTAAGTTATCTGTAATCAAGTTACCATCTGACAACTGATTAGTAAACGAAGCGCATGGAGTGCCAGGCGTTAGGACCGTGTCTCTTTCACAAATATGCCCTCCTTTTGGCAGACCACTAAAGGACTCAAGAATGAGCAACAATCAAAATGTGGATACATGATCAGAAAAGGATGGAACAATCACTGGTCAGGAAACGAAGAATTTTGATAATTAGGCTCATTGTCAGTAGATTTTGTTTTCTATTTCCATTATTTATTACACTTAATTCATTAAATTTTGTGGTTTCTTGCAAGTTTTGAAAATTCTGAACATGTATTCTAACACTATATATTAAATAGATAAAAAATTTTAGCTAGCAGCTCAAGTGATTAACCAGGATATTTCTCAGATCAGAACTTCTACCATAACAATTTTTTATTAAATTTCAAACCAACCAGGCTACGTTATGAACAAAAGCAATTAACTAAAGTCTCCAATGTTTTTAAAAGGGTGGTAGCTTTTTCTTTCCCTGAAGTTTAAGATCTCAGAAAAGTAAATAAAGACATCGGCAGTGCAAATAAATAGAGGAAAACATAACGAATGGAATATAACCATCCCCAAGCTAAGGGAAGAGGAGGAAGGTGGAAGAAGTTTACGTTTCATTCTTCATTGGAAAAGCACTTGAGTTACAGTTTGTGGTGCAGCTGTTAGTCCTTAAATAGGGTACAACAAACAGGTTTATCTCATGTGCAAATAATCAATAAAGACTGGCTACCTCAAGGAGCCTGGATTATGTTGACCTTAGTGGGAAAGGTCTGCAGTAGCTGCCAGGTGCACAGAGGCAGGGCGTGGCCACACACATGCCCTGTGTTTGTTGATCCCATCTTATATCCATCAGTAGAACATCAAAAATGATCAGGGCCTTGCCAGGCAACCATTCATTAACTCTTCACTCATCAATGTTTGCAATTAGCATGTTTTCTTCCTAAACAAAGGAAACATTTTGTTTTCATAAATGGAACTTGATGGATCTACAGATGGATAAAACGGATTTTCCATCACATTTCTTATCCACTAACTATTGTAGAATAGATGCCTTTGGATACATTATTTCCTTTTACCATTCTATGGGGAGAACCTACTCTATGTAAGGTATTAGAAGGGACACAGGCAAACAACATAGAATAAAGTAGAAATAAGGACCTAGTCCTAGCTCTGAAGGAGATTCTAAACATGTTGTGCAGATAAGGAATATTTAATAATAACTAGATTGTTCAAAGATATTAGGATTTTTCACTAGCAGAACAGTAAAAATCCAAAAGTTTGATTACACACATGTTGGGGAGGTTGTGGAAAAAGAGGTACTCACGTATATTGCTTTTGGAAGTGGAAATTAGTGTAAGCCCTATAGACGGTGATTTAACAATTATCAAAACTAACACTGCCTTTGGGCAATTCCACATCTAGACATTTATTCTGCAAATATACATGCACAAATACAAACGTCAGATACACAAGATTATTAATGCAACTTTGTAATTGTAATAATAGCTGTACTAGTTTCCTATGGCTGCTGTAAGCAATTCCCACAAACACAGAGGCTTAAAACAACACAAATTTATTATCTTATAGTTCTGGTCAGAAGTCCGAAATGGGTCCTGCCCAGCTAAAATCAAAGGCTGTTCTTTCTGGAGGCTCTAGCAGAGTCCATTTCCAAGCCTTCTCCAGCTTCTAGAGGCTTCCTACATTCCTTAGTTCCTGACTTTGTCCTGCTCCAACCTCTGCTTCTATCCTCACATTCTCCCTGACTCTGACTCTCCTGCCTCCCTCTTATGACTGTGGTGATTGATTACATCAGGCCCACCTGGATAACACAGGCTAATCTCCCCATTTCACAACCCTTAATCACATTTGCTAAGTCCCTTTGCAACTGGCAAACAGTTAGCCATTGAAGATTAAGCCACTAGTAACTACGGGGGATCGGAATTGGCCACCTCAAAATATGTCTCTGCCTGAATGACACTTTGGCTCCCATCCCCATTAACTGACCAAAGGAGTTTGTGGTGGGAGGCCTGCCCTCAGAACCCGCCATTACCATAGACATCTCTGGGTATCTGGATGGGTCCGTGCTAATCCCATTCTTAGTTCTAGTTGCTCTTTATAAGAGATATTTACATTTGTAAAGAAAATCTCCATTTGTAAAG